CGTTATAATGAACACTTATATGGCACTTAATATGTGCCAGAGTTCTAAGGGTTTTTACATATATTACATCATTTCATGCTCACTTATTATCATCATCCCTGTTTTATAGATGAGGAGGAAACTAGAGCACAGAGAAGTTATATAATTTGCCCAAAGTCACACAGCTAGTGAGAAGCAGGGTGTTGATTCAAACGCAGGCATTCTGGCTCCAGAGCCCATGCTCCTAACCACCCTGACTCCCTAATTCACCACGTGGCTGCCCAACATCTTTGGTTGGTTCATCTCAAGGATGATTACCTTGCTTCTTGTACTCACTAAAGACAAAATGCAGTGAAAGCCCTTTTCTTTTCTCCCCGGCCCAGAATTTTAAAAAGTTGCAAATGCCATTTTGATATCTGTTAGGTTGTACAAATATCTTCAGGCAGATCCAGTAGAACTAGCTGGAATCTTTGGTGCAAAACTTTTGGCATTTGCTAAAACTTGATGAAAATAAAATCTGAAAACTGTCTCCATTCTGAGCTGATAGGATGTGGCCGTATGTGCTTTATTCAATGTAACTGATCAGCAAAGGACTATACGGGGTCCGCAGGGCTGCAGAAACTGAATCCCCAAACACTAGAGAAGACCAAGGAGCCATTCTGCAGACATGGGGATGCCCTGGAGCCAGAAAAGGCAGACAATACTCTGATGGCAGAGTCAGGATTCAAACTGAACAAGAGTCCAAGCCAACCAGCTGGCATTTAATACAGAAAAACATAAAGGCCTAAAAGTTCAACTGCCGGAGAGTACCTGGAAGCAAGCTCCCTCAATTGTCCTAAAAAGTAAACCTTACAGATCGAAGCCTTCCCTTGTAACTGGAATATGTGGCAGCCAAATGTCCCCAAACCTAGCATGAGAAAAACTCAGAAGACTTCCAGTTTCTCTCTGATTTCACTTCAGGCGGGGAGAGAGGACTGTTCCATATAGTGAAATAGCCCGTTGCTGTATAACTATCTCAGAGCACAACAAATGGATATCCCAAAGCCTTTCTCAGCCTGTTTCTCCAAACTGTATCAACCTGGCCCTGGGGGCTATGCTATGGTATCACCTTCAGCACCATCACAATCAAATAAGTGCCCCCCAGAGTCAGAAAGTCAGAAGCCTGAGAAGTTATGAATCAGAAATCTGAACAAAGTTGAAATCCCACCAACAGGTTGTAGTCTATCCATGTCCTAATCTCTGGGACTTATGAATATGACTTCTCTGGCCAATAAAGGTAGGAGGAAGGGGGGTTCTTTATAGGTGTGATCAAGTTAAGAATCTTGAAATGGGAAGATTATCCTGCATTATCTGGGTGAACCCTAAATTCAGCCATGTGCATCTTTATAAGAGAGATGGGGGAGATCTGACACAACAGAGGAAAGGGCGCTATAAAGATGGGGCAGAGAGGGATTTGATGATTGGGGTGATGCAGACACAGCCAAGGAATGCCAGGAGCCATAAGAAGGTAGACAAGGAAAGGTGCAGATCTTCCCCCAGGGCCTCCAGGCCCTGCCAACACCTTGATTTTGCCCCAGCGATATTGATGTCAGACTTGCGGGCTCCAGGACTGTGAGAGAAATATGTTTCTATTATTTTAAGCCAGCAAGTTTGTGGTAACTTGTTATAACAGCCACAGGAAACTAATACATGAGTTAATATTAATTTTCCCTGCCTCCCTCCCTTAGCCAACACACACAAAAGGACCTATTACGTGCTTAGGGACTGTGAAGAGTACAGAAGATAAGGGTCAGGCAGAGGGTCTGGTCCCTCAATGAGCTCACCGCCCAGTGACATAGCTACCTGGGCCACAGACACCCTGGGCCACAGGGTGTAACAAAGCCAAGTTTGAAGCTTTATCCCCAGAGGAGGCTGCACCAGAAGGCTCCATGGGGCAGATGATGTGTGCACTCAGCCCTGAAGGGTGACGCTGGATCCCAACAGGCCAGGGCAGGAAGTGGTCGAAGCCACGGGCATTGAATCAGGAAGGACACTGACCGGTAAGAGTGTGAGTTGTGCTGGGAGCCAGTGAGTGGTCAGGCTGGAGAACAAGCTGGGAGAAGGGGCCCAAAAAGCAAGCTGAGGCCAGAATGTAGTGATGCCTGAGTGGCAGTCCCAGAGCTGCTCTGCTGAAAGGTGGGTCAGCTGCGGGGGCTGTTCCAGCAAAGACCATGCGTGTGGGCCTGCACTGCCTTGGTGAAGCCATTTAGGAAACAGATTTGGAAATAATATTGGAAACAGAGTCCCAAAGGCAGGGCATTGGTTTGGATGTTGAGGAACAGGAACTAAGGACCATGGCAGTGAGCGTGGAGTCCCAGCCCTGGCACCGAGTCTGGCACTGAATGACTGGCTGGGGGAAGGCGGGTAATGAGAAACCCAGAAAAGAAGATGAGCAGAAGGAAGATGAGACGCCAAGAAGGAAGGAGTGGAGGGAGAGAAGGAGAAGGCATGGGGTTCCTGGGCCAATATGTTTGTGTTCCTCCCTTCACACTGCGTGCCCTCCCTCTATTCAGGGGACAGAGGCTCGGGGGATCACGCCACTGGGCCGACTCTGTGGTAGCCCCTGTCCAGCTGCTGCCAGCAGTTTGGTTAGGCTGTGCTCTTGCTCAGGCCTGTGAGTTCTGCTGCTGCTGTACCTGGGCAAGGAGCTGCCCTCAGTGCCTGCTGGGGGCTCCGCCAGGCCCATGGCCATCTGTATCTTGAGCCTGGTAATTAGGAATCATGGGGGAATCAGGGGTCCGGAGGGCAGGCTCCGTTTGGAGAAACTGGGGAAAGTTCAGCTGCTTCTCTGAACTCAGACTCTGAGGTTTGTAGTGGGGAGCCAGCAGGCCCAGCTGCTAGCCTCTGCTTCACCTGCCAACATGCTGACTTGCCATGGGGACAGGGCCCGGGGCTGCCGCCTCCCCCTCTGCCATCACTGAGAAGAAGCTTGCATTGATAGACTCAGAGCACACACGCAGCCCCGGAACAGGAAGGAGTGCTGAACTGGAGTGCCAAGGCCAGCTTCAAGCCCTCCCGCCTGCAAGCTGTGTTGCCTCAGAAAATTCCCTAACTGCTCTGAGTCTCAGGTTTCCCTTTCAGAAAACAGGGATTCCAGTCCAGATCCTGCCCACCTCACAGTGTTGTAACATCAGAGGGCTCCGAGGAAGTCACTGGCATTCGTTTAAGTGCTACATAAACGCGAGGGGCCATGAATGGAGATGGCTTGAGATCCCTCTCCTGAGGCTGCCCTACCTTGCTAACGGTTGGGAAATGAGTGAGGGGCTGGGGGAAGGAGGGTGTGTACCCCACCACCTCTGCTTGCCTTGTGCAGGGTATTTCCCCAGCTCTGCATGGGCCCGTCCTTGCATCAGAAAAGACAAAAGCTTTGCAGGCATGACCCTGGAAGGCATCCCCGGCGTTGGCAAGGCCCGGGGCAAGAGGGTACACGAAGGCCACTTCCCATATGTCTCATATTTAAATGTCATAAATCAAGCTAACAAACCGTTAAATGAAACATGCTCTGGCCTCCTAACTTGTTAAGCACATCTTCGTAACAACCCGGAAGGTCAGGAACGAATTTAGAATTCTGGGGCTCCTGGCATCTGTGCCAGGACCTGACTGAGTGAGGAGAGCCCACTGGAGCGATGATGTGCCCTACTTCCCTTCCCACCAGCTCCACTCATTGTCCTGTGCAGCCTTGCGCACAGGTGTGGAAACCCAGTCCTCCCATTTGATCCCTCGGCCCCCTACAAAGAGCCAGTCCTCGGCCCCAGCGTGCACACACCTGCGACATGTGTCAGGGAAGAGGATAGGGGCTATTTGGGCTGGACCCCTAGTGTGGGCTAGAAAGAGAGCGTGCGTACCAGGTGGATAGGTCCCCTTAACCCTGTAGACTCTCCATGGTCCATGGAGGGTGAGGGGCCCCCTGCAGGGACAGAGTGGGCCCCACTTGCCTAGGTCACAGCTCCTACTTGCTGGGTGACTTAGGCACATCCCAGCCCTTATCTGGGCTCAATTTCCTCACCAAGAAAGTGGGGTGAATGACCCACCTGGCTCCAAGGAGAAATCCATCCAGGTGGGGACAGGGTGAGATAACCAACCTATCTTTTTCACACCACCCCTAAGAGAGTCAACAGTTTGTGCTAGGAAAGGAGCAACCATAGAGGCCCTGGCACTGAATGAGTAGCCCCTGTAAGTGACTCAAAACAAGGGACAGCATGAGCCCTTAAAGGAAGTGTAACAACACTTCAATCTGATTTTCCCCCTGATTGCTTTTTTAAACATCTTTCAAAAAACAATACTTAGGGCGTCCCTGCGGTGCTCATGGCCTTAGTACACAGATAGCCAGCACCATATGATGTGTTTTCTTGTCCCCATGCCACCCCACCATGGAAGGAGACGTGGGGGTCGCCTTTCCAAATGCCTTGAAAGAAAGTGACACATCAGTGGCCTCAAAGGCATCCGATTTCAATGGCTACAGAGTGTTCAGTTTAGAATCAAGTGACAAACCCACCAGCCAACATCCTGTTTGTTCTGAGCACATGGTCCTGAACCCCATGGAGTACGGCCAAAGAGCGCACCTCAGGGGGGCTTCCTTGTGTTCATGTCCCACAAATTGGGTGGGGAGGGGGGGTTGGGAGAAGAGAGGGTGGGGAGAAAGGGGATGGGGGAGGTCCCCCATTCCCTACCAGCTGGGCAACCTCTGGCCAGGTCCTGCAGCCCTCTGTGTTCAGACTCCCTGTGTGTGGCTAGCAAGGGCCTGTTTGAATGTCAGCCAAGGGCCCCCCTCCCACTGATGTCCTCCCAGGTGCTGCCACTGGCTGGTCCCAGCCCCACTGCAGGCCCAGCTGTAGAGAAGGAGACCGAGTGTGCAGATCTCTGCCTGATTTATTCAGGTCCACTTCTCAGAAGCTTAGAGGTCACCCAGGCTGTTTGGGGGGATGCCCCCCCTGAAACCCCGTCCACTGCCTGCTGTGGAGACGCCAACAGTGCAAACTCACCAGGCACCATCCCTGTCAGCGTCGGTGCTGAGTAGCTGCCCTGTCCGGCGGGGGGGACGTGTGGAGGGTACCCGGGGAGGGTCGTGCTCGCCAAGTCACGGCCTGAGGAATCAAAGCAACAAATCACAGGGTGAGTATCTCTACGGCCAGCCACTAATGTCCATAGTTCCCTGGACATCTGCACATTTGTCACGTCTGGATGCTGAACACCAACATGCCCCCAGCTCCCCACATCACTTGCATGTGCGCGCGTGCGCGCGCGCGCGCACACACACACACACACACACACACACACACACACACACACACTCTCCCCTCCAGCCACCCTGGCTCCACTAAGCAGGAAGCGAGGACGGCTCTGCTGTGTCCCTGGGAAACTGGAGCTCTGACCAGCTCACCGTGCTCTCTACTTCCCAAGTAAGACTTGGACTTCTCCTCCACCACATCTTTGCTTCTGCTGTGCTCTCTGCACCGAGCGCCCTCTCCTCCAGCTGCCCGAGGCTCAACACCACCCACCTTCAAACACCAGCTCAGATGCCTCCTTCCACCTCTAACCCCTACTGCTCTGGTCCTGACAGAGTTCTTCCTCCTTTGGGCTAGAGCCAGTCACTCATTCAACAAAAGTGCAGGAAGTGCTTCTTGATACCAGACACTTCTGGGCACTGGGGTCTGAAGGTTAGGGCCTCGGCCCTCAGGGGCAGACACTCTGGTGTGTGCCCACCTCTTTGGCAAGCTGCCAGCTCCTGGAGGGGCAGAGGTGACACCTCATTCATCACCCAGACAACCTGTCTCCACCACAGGGCTTGGCTCCTAGTAGGCTCTTAGTGAATAAATGCGTGAACGAATGGCATATCCAAGTGTTAAGGGAGCAGGATTCTGAGGGAGATGCCACTGAGGTTTGTCTGCCTCTTAGAGAAAGAGTGGGGCTACGGCCCTTTCAAACCTTGCCAGTTATATGCATGTAACAATGTGCTCCTGGGTGAGACCAATAACACACCTTGGGAGAGCGGACCGGTCTGTGATTATCTGTGGGGCCCTGAGGATGAGACCCCACCATGGTGTGTGGAATTGGCAGTTGCTCCTGAGAGAAAGGATGCACCTGCTGTCCGCCATGCTGAGAAGTGGGTGAGAAATGAGGTCGCCGTGGGATGGGGCAGGGGAGGATAAATTCAGCCTCTTCTGGATGAGGGACACTGAGGACCGGGAAGGCCAGAAGAGGCCTGGGGGTGTAGGGGAGCAGCTCCTGACCACACAGAGCCAGGCTGGGACCCAGGAGCCTTCCCTAGGGCCCAGCAGGGTGGTGTAGGTAGTACATAGGCAGGAGACTCTGAACTCAGCCCCACTAGCACATGGCCCAGGGAGGAGGCCCACCTCTGACCAGCACCCCGAAAGAATCCAAGCCAGCACATGCTGTCAGCCTGTGAACGTTCCCTGGATGAAAGAATAGCTCTTCTAGTGCCAGTCATTCAGACCGTCCAGCCAGCACCCGGAGGCTGCCTCATTTCACACAGTGCTGCTCGCTTTCCAGAACCTTATGGCACCCCAGGCAGCTGCCAGACGGGAGACTCCTTCTCTCCCTCTGCTCACTACCCCCATGGCTTTGGACTGGGCATCCTGGCTTATGGCAAGCATGGCTCGTGCCTCTTCACATGTGGCACTGTGACAGGGGAGCAAACGCTCTGGAAATCCTTGATCCTCCATAGGCACTGTATATGACTCCCCATGAGAGCTGAGACTAAACAGAAAACGAGTTGGCAGAACTGACCACACTTGCAAGGTGATTGAAGGAGTTTTGCCTCCTGCCCCTAGCCATCGTATGTCTCCCCCTCTCCCCCTCCTCCGGCCCAGCACCAACGCCCTCTATAGCTGCTCCTCTCTTCACAGAGTGTAAACTCCAGGATCGAGTCTTTGTATTCCAAGGTCAGAATGGCACAGGGATACAAATATTTATTAAGTGATGAAGGAAGTGGCCCTGTTAGGGAAGCAGGAGATTTCTGGAGTCCATAATAGCCCTCTCCATCCATGGTCAAGAGCCAGTGCAGTGCAGACTACAGGATCGTAGTGTCAGGGGCCAGGCTAGGAGATGTGTAGAGAAGACAGTTATAGCTGGGGCTGCTCTGGTGGGCTGGCTCCTCCCCCAGCCGTGGAGTGGCTCCCACTGGGCCCTGCCTCCAGCTCACACCCTAATGATGACAACAACAAACCCCAAATACTAACAGAGAAATTACAAAACCCCAGGCTCTGCTCTCAGTATTTTAAATTATTAACTCATTTAACCCTCAACGACTGTATGAGGTAAGGTACTGATACTATTCCCATTTTACAGGATAATGAGACATAGAAAGGTCAGGTAATTTGTCCAAGTTTACACAGTAAGGGCCAGGATTCAAATCTAAGCAATCTAAGGTCAAAGTCCACACATTTAGCCGTTCCACTTGCCGTGCGCATATACCTGGCTGTGCTTCTGACCCCGAGTTCAGTGTCTCAGCGGGACACCCAGGCTGAGCCTTGCCTTTAGGACACACTGTCACCACTGCTTATTGGCTCCACCATACAGAAGGAAATTCAACTGCAGTTTTAATGACATATGTGTTGGGATGGGAACCAGAAGCACATTGGGAGGAAGCCAAATTTTCCTCCAGAAAGACAGGGCATTATTATCCTAAAAAGAGGCTGCCCAGTGCAGGGGAACTCATGGGGGCCAAACCCCATGACATCCCCGCTGGCTTCCTGAGATAGAAAGAGGGTCCTGAGAGGGGAAGGGCTGTGCCCAAGGACCCTCAGCTGATTGGAGGCAAGGCTGGGCCTGGGATCCAGCTCTCCTGCTCCTGGGATTGGGCTCTTTCTTCAATAGGGGCTTCTTGTTTGGTCATGTCTGAATCCCAACAGTTTCTGTTACACGTGTTTTATTTTTTATTTATTTATTTTTTTAAAGATTTTTTTTATTGGGGAATTGGGGGGATGGGAACAGTGCTGGGGAATTGGGGGAAGGGGAACAGACAAGTTGCTGTCCTTTTGTTCTTCAATCTAGTTGTGGAGGACGTTGCTTCACTGGCCCAAGTTGGCACCATCATTGTGCTCTTCTCTGGCGAGGCAGATCAGTCGCCGGCTTCTGGACGGCCGCTCACTGCGGCTGCTGGCTACATACGGTAGCCCATGGCAACCCACTGCCACAGGGAGTGCAGCCTACGCCGTCGCCGGCGACTCATGGCAGCCCAGCTCCAGGTTGAGCTGTTGTTCAGCATCTTAGCTGTGGAGGGCAGTGTCACTGGCCCTCATATGTGGGATCCGAACCGGGGCCCTCTGGCATCCCAAGCGAGTTCTTAACCATCGCGCCACTCGGCCGGCCCTGTTACACGTGTTTTAAAACCTTGATCCCTAAAGCAAAGGTTTGAAAAATCAGTGCCTCACCACAGCCTCACTCAGCTTAAGAAGCCAGATAAAAAAAGCAGTAAAATGAACCTAGGGAAGGAGGAGGAAGGAATCGATTAAGAGAAAGCAGAAAATAACGAATTAGGAAACAGGAAAGCAGACACATCAATAAACACAGCCGAGAATTGTTATCTGAAAACACCAATAAGATAGACAACCCTAGGGAGAGATTCACAAAAGAAGACAAATTCTCAGGTAAGGAATCAGGAGAAGATACAATCAGAGATATGGAAGAGATGATATTAAAAAAATAATAATAAGAAGAAAATGTATGGCCACTCAACACTAATAAATATGGAAATCTCAACAAAAGTACAATTTTCTAGGAAACATGAATTACCAAAATTAACTTGCGGTAGAAAATATAAACAGCCCAATTACCTTAGGAAAAATGAAAAAAAGTTTTTTTTTAATTATGTTTTAAAATAAGGTGCCTCATCCATTTAGCTTTTTAGCTGCTTGAATAAGTTTTTCGTTTGTTTTTGTTTTTGACAAATTCTTCTAAACCTTCAAGGGATGTGTATTTCTGTTATTAAACTGTTTCATGATATGTAAAAACCTAAGAAAATCTTTCCAATTCATTTTGCCAAGCTAGCATAATCCTGATGTAAAAATTTAAAGGTGCGTCAAAATGAAAATTAAAGGCCAGCCTCACAATTTATTAATATACATGCAAAAAAATCTATCTCACTGATCAAGTAATATCAGAGAAAGAATAATATACCATGACCAAATAATGCTTATTTGGGGTATGCAAGAATGATTTAATGTTAAAGTATTGGTTGGGAAATCATATTAATATATCAAAGGAGGAAAATCATATGATTATATCAAAGCTGTGGAAAAGGCATTGGTTAAAATTCAATACTAATTCCTTACAATACCGCTTAGTAAATAAAAATTGAAGTATACTTCTTTGATCTGGTATTGATCTTAAATCTATAGCTACATCATCTGTAATTGGTGAAATACTCAAAGCATTCTTATTAAAGACAAAAACATGTCAAGGAAATCTGTTATCACTGAAAATTGTTGTGAAAGTTTTAGCCAGTACGAGAAGACAAGATAGAGATAAAAGAGGGATAAACATTGGTCGGGGTGGACACCAAAATTATCATTAGCTGGATATATCTTGAGTCTGGAAAATCATAAGATCATCAGCTCATCTACTAGAACCAGTAAAAAACATTTGGTGAGGGAGCCAGATAATGGGTGTCTAGAATCAACACCTTTCTAGATTCAGCAGCTCCCCACTGCCTATTCAATTAAGTATAGATTATTTATTTTGGCTTCCAAGGCCCTTCTCCATCTGTGCCCCCCACCTGCGACCTTTCCAGCCTCATCAGTTCCAACTTCCCGGGGGCCATTTCCCAAACTGCACCACACTTTCCCATCTCTACACCCTTGCTCACGCTGTTCCCCTTTCTAACTGCCCTTCTCCCATTCTTCTCAATTAAACCTGCTGTGCAGTCTCCAAATGCCACCCTCAGGAACCTGCTCCTCTGTGAAGTCTCTTCTAGGCCCTTCAAGCCTATGACACTTGCCCCTTCTGAAGGTCCCCCTGCTCCAAACCTCATCCCAGTGCAAAGGGAGTCACGTCAGGGGAACAGACAAGCTGGAGGTGATGATGTTAGCAAGGATAAGATGGCACTTCCTCTGGTGCCAGACCC